AAAAAAAAAAAAAAGTGTGAAGGTATAAAACTAGATTTTTGGTATACTTAATAATAAAGAATACGACAAATACATCTGTTAGGATCTGTTGAAAATACCCGGAAAAGAGGAAAATAGGGGAGAGGAAGTGAAAACGTGAGAAGAGAACAAATTATTACTTCAGTTCAACTTTAAAGTATAACACTGTGGTCATATCACCTTTTTTTGGTTTTTTTATCATTTTAATTTCAGAGACAATATACTGTGTAAAAACCCGAAGTTTGGTCACACTATATAATTCATTGATTAAGCGTTTCTGGTGTAACTGTGTTATTAGCCGACATACCTGCGATCCGTTGTATTGTTGTAAAAGAATTTAACTATTTAAATAGCTATATTACTTGACAGTTATTCAAACGTTTCAAATGTCCACTTTTTAGCAGTGATCAAACATGCAGTGCAGTGAACTTAAGGATACAAATAATACTTATGTACAACTGTCAACTTTGATAGGAAGAATTGGCAGCATAAAAGCAAACTTTACTTTTAATGGAATGGTACATATCAATATTTTATTATCACTTTTTAATCAATCAGCAGTTACCATCAGTTATCGTTATTCTCTCATAACATTCAATTCCTACGTAACAAAAATTGTTTAACCAAAATTAGGTGCTAAATTCTTTCCTTTGAGTACATTTTGCTAATTACAATGTTCATTTTTTTTTTTTTATTGTAGAGATTCTTTTATAAGTTTTTTAAAAAAGTATTTATATGTATATATATAGCGGTTTTTAGGTTTTATATGTATATATAGCGGTTTTTAGGTTATGTGAGCTGATATTTCTTGCCGGTACAACTATGACTTGTTTAGCTATAGACCATTATTTCAGTATAAAAGGTTTATAAACCCGATCAATTTCTGCTGTTTTGTGTTTTATCCGCTTTTCTATAGTCTTCTTTTTTATTCATCGCTTTTCATATAAGTTTGAAAATGAATTATGCAACTAGTAAAGGATAAAAGGTTTATAAGCTGATATTTACCTGTCGTATCATTCGTATTTATCCCGTTTGTTATATAAACGCTTGTAAATTATGCTATATAATTTTTACATTTTAGGTTTGCACTTTGAGTGTAGCAGCAAAAAATAAAAATAAAAATAAAAACTAAAAACAAAAACTTCGAAAGTCTTCAGCACATCAGTGCTTTTATAATATTTGTAGCTTATTTTCAAGAAAGCAAGTAAAAAGAAGCTTAAGCAGGCTTTTCTAAAACAATGTCGACGATATCAATTGAATCACTGTCAGCAGCTGGAACTCTATCATCCAGAGCGGGAACAATACGATCAGTGGTATCAAGAACATCAAGAGCACCAGAATCAGCAGAAACACTAACAGAAAAAAAAGCTTTAACGACATCGAAAAGTGTATCTGCTAATGAGAAGGAATTTCGTGTATCGCTGTTTCAGGTGATACTGGATGCTCTAACAAGGATTGAGGTACAGGAAAATATCGCTTCAATTGTTCAGCCATAAATATACGAACATTCAACCAAATGTGTTTTGATGATGACGTCCGCAACATTTATTTGTAGAACAATATGCGTAACTAAAAGTTAATTGTAGGAAATCTGTAAATAGAAAAATTAGAAATTGGAAACTTTATAACGGTAAAAATGTTTAAATTAAGAAAATGGTTTCAGCGTCATGTGCTGTTCTGTTTTTCTATCTTAATGTCGTTCTTTTTTTACTATCGTCTATTAAAATAATACTGGTCGGAAAGATTAGGAAATCATTCACTGTAAGAAACTAAGACTTTTTATCTGATAAACTTAAAAGTTATTTTAGCCCCAACTCAAAAGTTACTATTTAAAAAGAATGGCGTGTTTATAGAGCCGTTTTCAACTGTTCTCGGAACGTGATGAATATTGTAAAGCTGAACTAAATTATATCGATAATGAACTGCAAGATTTAAAGTTGAAAATAGCGGAAACTGATGCCATTGAACAGTTGGAGGGTATTGGTCGAAGGATAGTGGTAATTCTGATCTTTATTTTTAAAATCTGAAATAAAATATCCAAGAAATTTTCAAGCAGTACATCCAGTATAAAGTAGTGCACTTTGACAACGTTAGTCAATTCTTTTCTAATTGACAACATCACTTTTTTGCAGCTTTTTAAGAGTACCTTTAATGATCTCATCGTTAACCAATTAAGCAGTAGTAATTCTTTTGATAACTAACTTGGTCGTGGGCTAAACTGAAAGTATCAGTAGGAAAATTGAGTATTGAAAACTACTGATAGTTAGATTCTCTGAGCATCTTAAGCTGATCGCTATTTTAACCTAGCTTACAGATGCTTAGTGAAATATTGTTCCGAATCTTACAGAAGAAATCAGTAGCATTAATTTTAAGTGATAAAACTTTAGCAGAAAATTGAATACCACAACTTTCAAAAGACAGTTTCACTTGCTCTCTTTTTTCAGCTCTTAAGAAGCTTTTTTGCCGAAGAAGTCGGTAATTCAGAGATGTTGGCTTCGCTGGGAGATGTTATAAAAACTCAGTTTCGAAAAGCTTTGACCAACAATGATACCGTATGTAGTAGGCTAGAACGTAATCTTAGAAGTCAGATAACTATCAACCGAGATAAATCTAAGAAAAAAAAAAAGAAAAAACCAGCGAAAAAATCTAACTTTTGCAGTTATTCCCGGCTCACAGTTTTATTATTTGTTTCTGAAGTTTTATTTCGCTTTCTTTTTAATTTTACCACTGCCTACAGCTATTTTTACAGGTAAAAGCTTACTGTTAAATATAATATGTTCCATTAAATCTCCTTCTAAACTTTGAAAAAAAATTTTCTGTTCAATAACATTTTATAATTTATCTTACCATTTCCTCACATTATCACTGTAATGCTATCTAAAAATGAGTTTTGTTAGGTGAAAAAAAAGCTAGAGGATGAAGTGACAAATCTTAGTGAACGATTAAATTCGCTAGAACTGGAAAATCAAAAATTACGTACAGAAAAGTGGAATATGGAGGAAAACCAAAATCGTTCAAGACAACAAGTTCGTTACCATTTTGTGTCTTCAAACTAATAGCTTTCACCCTCAATTATAATTATGGTCTATCTACCTAATCTCAGTAGCTGCTTTATTCAGCTGGACAACGAGAATCAAGCTATGACAAGACATGCAGCACCTAGGGCAATAGATGGTATATATTCGCAAAAGCCTAAAAAATGTGTAATTTGCCTTGATAATAAGGTATGTCACTTTTACTACATGAAAATTTGTCTGTGAACCCTAAGTTTAGTATTGAATAAACCAAAGAAAAAATGTTAATATTTTTTGAAGTAAAAATACAGTTAGTAGTATTCCAAAACTGAGATCCATTTACTGTTTAAAATAGTGATTAGCACCCAGCCGATGTTTCATACACTAAATAAAGCATCAAAAACTGGTCTTCGGAGCCTGGTTGAATTTTAAGAATAAACGAGATTTACAGAAAACTCAAGTGAAATGGTTAAAAAATTTTAAATACAGTAGTTCCCATATCAGGCAAAATCAAAACTTTTATACAACTTCGATTGACAGACAATTTACTAGTTTATTTGCTTTGAGAAATACGCCTATTGATGTAGAAGCTCTCATGATTTTGTGTATTTATCTTTTGATCATCAGTGGCCTTTATAACCTTATTTAA